GGTAAATTACAGCCATTTACATTAAGTTATAACCGATTTATATTGGCTTAATTTTGTCATGTTATCTTTCTGCTGTTGGTTCTTTATCTTTCTCTTCTGTTTAATTGTTTGCCTTGCCTGAAAGGTGTTTTTTGTTTGTGTTCTTGAAATCGTACTCTTTTTATGTCTATCTAGAATATCTTTCAGTACTCTTTGTATGGTTGGTTTGGTTGGTGTAAGTATCTTATTTCTCCATTAATTTTGAAGGATAAGTTTACAGGTACTTCAATCTGGGTTGGAAGCTGTTTTCTGTTAGGATTTATAAATCTTCACTCCATGCTCTTCTTGACTTGATTGTGTTGAGAAGTCTGCTATGAGTTTGATGGGCTTTCCTTTATAGGTGATTTGTTTCTTTTCTGCAATAGCTTTTAATATTCTTTTCTTACGATGAATTTCTGGGATGTTGATTATGATATTTTGGGTTAGATTTATTTTGGTTATGGCTAATTAGAGTTCTATATGCTTTACTTAATTGCATGTCTGTTTCTTTTCGCATGTTTAGGAAATTTTCTGCTATTACTGCTGCAAATAGTGTTTTTTTTTTTTTTTTGTCTTTTTCGTTTTTATCGGTACCAGGGATCGAACTCACGACTGCCTGCTTGCAAGACAGGCGCTTATGCCACTGAGCTAAATCCCCAGCCCCCGCAAATAGTGTTTTTGTATCATTTGTGCCATCACCTTTTCATTGACAACGATCAATCTTATTGATCGTTTTTCTTTGCATTGTCTTGCAACTGTTGAATTGTTATTTCCTGATTCCGTATTATTTTCAGAAGTTTTCTTTTTCTGTTCACTAACTGCAATGTTGTCTTAGAGGTCTGAAAGTCTGTCTTCACATTTGTTCAAGCCTTTTTGTCAGCTTTCGATGGAAATTTTAATTTCTTGGATATCTTTGAGTCTGTTTCATGAATTGTAATTTTTTCTTATCTTGTTCATTCAAGGCTCCATCATTTCCAGTACTCCTCTATTTTTTAAAGTATGTCTTCATTAGATATGTTCATCATTTCTTTCATTACATTTATCATTTCTTGTTTTATGTGGGAGATTATTTCTGATTTCTTTTACAGATTGATCGAGTTGTTTCTTTACTTCAATTGCTATGATTTCAGAAATTTCAGGTGTGTGAGTTACACTCACTTCTATATGCATGTCTCCAAACTTGTTTAGGATTGGTTGGAGGTTTGAGATTTCACTTTGCTCTTTCATTTTGTCATTTTCCTGTATTCCCTGGGGCAACTGAATGCAAAGCCCCAGTTGTTTCCTGGGTGGATGATGACTGTACTGAAGGGGTCTCCTCAGCTGAGTAGGAGTCATTAGACAGTCCTTACCTGGTCCCAAGCAGCTCTTGGAGGTTCCTGGATGGGTGGAGTAAGGTCACGAAATGTTCAGCATGCCCAAAACAGTACACAGAGTCTCCTCAGTTGCTTAGCATCGCCGGGCAGGGCCCTACCCCAGCTCCTGCAGCATACCTAGGCTCCCCAGCTAGGTGGAGTATGCTGGGCAGGTCTTCAGCAGGTGCACCAAGGCGCCCTGTTTGCTTTAAGTTGCTGGGAGGGCCCTTACCTGGCTGTGAGTAGCACAGTGATGCTTCCCAGCTAGGTGCAGTATGCTGGACAAGCCTTCCAGACTGATTTTGTTTTAATCCTTTTTTCCTTTTTGTTCTTCTTACTAGATTATTATACTTGATATGTTTTGGTTTCATTTATTCCTTCCGTTGCCATATATCTGCTCTTCTCTAGTTTATTTTTCATTTTAGTTTGGTACTTTTCAACTGAAGAGTTTGTCCGTTTTTTTTTTTTTGTATGTAATTTCTGTCTCATTATTGATACCTTCTGCTTCTGAGACAGTATTGACATGTGAAATTAAACTCCTTAGACTAGATCTCCACTATTCATTAAACATACTTGTAGATATACTTAAGGTCATTATTTAATAAGCCTTACTTCTGTGGGTTTTTTGTTTTTGTTTTTGGTGCTAAGGACTGAACCCAGGGCTTCCGGCTTGCCAGGCAAGCATTCTACCACTGAGCTAATTCCCCAGCCCTGTATTTATAGTTTTTCTCAGGGACAGATTCTATAATTGCTTTTTCTTTTTCTCTCTGTTTTTGGACCATGTTTGTTATTCTTTTGCATGTTGTAGTTTGTATTGAAAACTTAAGTATTTTAAAGGAGATACAGAGTTTTATAAGTGAGCTCCTCTTACATTTCAGGTTTATTATTGTCTGATATTGTCATTGTTAGTTTTTATTTATTTAGCTGCATTAGTAAACTTAATTGTATGAGTTTATTATTTGTCGTATCTGCCATCGAGTGAAATCTTTTCTCAGTTGGCTTTATGGTTTACTAATGATTTTTTTGCAATGGGGGTTGAACTCATGACCTTATGCTTGCCAGGCAGGCACGTGTGCCACTGAATTAAATCCCTGGCCTGGACTTAACTTTCTTAAATTGCTTGAACCAGTAAATCTTTTAGCTTTTACTGAGGATCTCTATGTGCATGTTGGGGCATACTTTCTACACATTGGCAACAGTTTACAACCTAGCTTTAACCTTCACTTTAAACTTTCTCAGAACTTCAAAATCAATCACAGGTGAGAGATTACAGCTTTCACAGCTCATTTCTGGAAAAAAGCATAGTCCTAAACTGTTTATGTTCTCTTGAATTTCTAAGAATATGTGGTGTAGAACAACCGCGTTAATTATTATTTTCTGTTTGTTGCTTATGATTTTATTTTGCCTTCCTTTTCATGGTTCCCTTTTGGAAAACTGTTGGATGTTCTTTTTAAAAAGGTAGAATTTTCAATATTGTACATGAGAAAAAAAATCTTACATATTCTCCAAATTGGAAAGAGACTAAGCAGTTCTCTTCAGGGCAATTTGAGAAGTACTGTTCCATAGAAATATAATGTGAGCCTCAAGCTTGAGCTGAGGTTATAATTTTAAATTTTCTGTTAGCTAAATAGGAAACAATAGTAGATTAATCTAATAATATATTTAATCAAAACATTCAAAATATTACCCTTTTAGTGTATAATTAATAGGTTATTAAGATATCTTACATGTAGTTTATACTAAGTCTTCAAAACCCTGTGTGTGTTTTATGCTTGTAGTACATCCCAAGCTGGACTAGCCACATCTGTAGGACTAGCAGCTATTGTGTTGAACAGCACAGATTTACCAAGGATTGATGACAGTTCTGTTTTTAGTAGGGTGGGATAAGAAATTAAGGCAACATAATGAAAATTGCTGAAACTCTTGAGCATATATTAGGTCAAAAGTAAAAGTCGAGTAAGGGGGAAGCAGAGTCAGTGTAGCTGCACAAAACCAGCATAGCCCCTGGGTACAAGGGACAATGAAGTTTGGTCATGTGTATTCAGTGCAATAATCTATGTTAAGATGGCAGTCAATATAGTTTTTAAATTAATAATATAGTAGCTAGTATTGACAAACCCCTAACCTCTTTGTATTAACCTAATCTTCTGACTTAGTTTGTGACCTTCAGTTAGTCGTTGTAGATCATCCACATTTTTTGACACTTTATTGTCATATATAAAATATCTTAAGCTGAACTAGATCATCTTGCAGCTTCTTAATACTGAAAGTCCATTTCTTTGGATGCATATGATGAGGAAAATAAAATTTTGGTCTTTAGGGAAATTATCCTCAAAGGAGTGTGATATATCCCCTTCTTATAATGTATGTAGATAATAACTTTAAGAAATCTACAAAATATTGTTGGAATTTAAGATATATTTATTTGTGTATAAGTTTATAATAAACTTTTGAATTAGATTGAAATAAATAATGATAGTAAGTGAAGTTTCATGTAAGTGGTAGCAATTAATGTGAATTTCAGTGAGAATTAGATGTAAATGAAGAGGTGGAATAAAATAAGGAGATTTTACTCCCTACAGTTTATTGTACTACATTGTATTATATATATAATAGAAGAATTTGGGTTAAGAGAGTAGTATGTATGTTCAAGGAACAATAAAAATACTCATTGGATATACTACTAGGTTTTGAGTTGTTGGTAATGTTGTTATATTGGACTCAAAACTTATGGAACTTGTAATATCCTGTTAAGGATATAGTTGATTGTTAGTAACTGAATATGGCAGAGAGAGAAATTGTACTGTGTATTATTTAGAAACTCTGTATTTTCTGAAAGTATTTTCAGTAATACTTAAGTATTATATAATATTAATAATTACTTAAGTATTACAGTATTACATAAGTAATTATAAGGAGAAGTCAGGCACAGTGGTACATGCCTATAATCACAACACTCAGGGAGCTGAGGCTGGAGGATTGTGGTGGGTTTGAGGCCATCTGGGGCTACATAGCAAGTTTAAGATCATAGCAAGTTTAAGACCAAGTTTAAGAACTAAAAAATAATATCATCTCAAAATTATAATAGTAATTAAATATAATTTAAAATTTAGAATTACTTCATTGGGCTTTAGCCCAATTCACTGTCTTCTGGTTCACAATCCTTGAAGTGTTAACATACTGCTTTTGATGAGGGTACTTATAGATTGCTACTTCAGGTAACTAAGATCAGATTTGTGCTTTTATCAGCATTTTTTTGTCCTCTATTATACTGTTTTATTTTTGCTGAGTGTTAATCTTTTGTGATTATATAACATTGAATAACTTTATGTCAGCATTCACTATAAAGTGGGAGCCTTAGGCTGACTGTTTAAACCATTTGTGTCTGTTCCAAGAGCCAGTGTTTGGAGTTTCATATGGGGCACGAATAACCAAATGGAAAATTTCTCAGAGGGATGGAAACTTATAAAGGCATTTCATTTGACTCTTTAAACTACAATATCTTTTATTTTTGAGTTTTTTTATTAGGTTATCAGATTACTGTTTTATGTAACATATGATAAGTCATTTTAGTAAGATAATTTAGAGAATATATAAAGCAATTATATCTATTTATTTAATTTCTTTTAGGTAACTTGTCCAGGAGTGGTGCTGAAAGACAAGGAGGACATCTATCTTAGCATCTGTGTGTTTGGCCAATATAAGAAGACACAATGTGTCCCAGCCACTTTTCCACTAGTCTTCAATGCCAGAATGGTGTTTGAAAAGGTCTGTTCAAATATCAGATAAAGTATGAAAAACAAAGTCACACTGATTCTCATATTTTAATGAAACCCTGTGACACAAATTATTATCGTTCTCTACTTTGATTTAATTAAAACATAAAGTTGCATCTTAAATCTAGAAGTTTGAAAATGCATATAAAATACGTTATCAGAAAACAGTTGAGTTTTTATCCTTGATGGATTAGCTATTTTAAAAATTGTCTTAGTGAGCTTTATGTAGTAATACTTATTGCCTTTGAATTCTGAATACTAATTTTCACAAAAAGACAAAATTCATGATAGGTAAAAATTTGAAATGTTTTGCTTATGACTGTCTCATATTTCTTTAAGTCTCTTTTCTTTGTTTTCCCTAAAGCTATTGCTTTTGGTAATTACCAGTTGTATTTTTCCTTTCCTTCTTCCTTCTCTTTCTTCTTTCCTTCTCTTTCCATTCTTCCCTTTCTTTCCCCTCCCTCTCTCCCGTGTGGAGGAAGACTTCTCTGCATAAATAGTAACCCAGCAACTGCTCTCCCAAGGCTGTCCTGGGCCTTGAGGATAGGTGGTGAACTAGGCAAATTCCCCCCCTTTGGAGATTAATGAATGCATGAAAAAAATAAGGGATAAAAGGGATTATCTGTTATAAAGAGTGGTCAGAGACACATTGAAACTGGGCCTAATTTATGAGATTATGTCAGTTACTCAAAGGTCTAAAGAAGTGGTGGTGAACCTATAGCATTTGTGTTGTTTTTCTTTAAGACAAAAAAAGTTAATTGTGTTATTTTTTCTAAACTAAAGCCTCATTATTTAAGTTTAATTTCAGTGTTGGTGCTTTGCCATAATTAAGTGGATTTGGGGTTACAGTTTGACAGTTCGTCTCTAAAAGGTTCATCATCGTTGGTCTAAAGGAAAGCCATTCTTAGCCAACATAAAGACTTTTGTTGAAAATAAGCTGGAGGAACATCAAGAAAGCTGATACGATCTTGATAACAGAGGGAAGAGTGCTAGCAGATGAAGTTTGAGAGGGAGGCAGAGCCAGCTATAACATTTATTTATAAACTCGTAGTAATCATGGCTAACACAAAGGAATTGAAAGTTCTCACTGATGTCAAAGGTTTTTGTAGTTGGGAAAGAAGTGGTATTTTGTAATGAAGAGGGAAAAGACAAAAATTGGCTTGTGTATCCCTATCTTCCCCATCCTGATTTACCCTATCTGCTCATACTGTAGGTGTTCCCTGAAGCAGTAGATCCTGGAGATGTGGTTGCACAACTGGAATGTAAGTTTTTAATTTCTTTTCTTTTTTTTCATTATTATTTTAAAGAGAAGAGGAATAGAGATAAAATAGTTTCAAATCAGGCTAATGGGAGTGTAACAATAATTAATACATTTTACATTGTTATCTTCATAGTAATTAATCAGAGTGCAAGATATAGGTGTCAGATAATGTCCAGATAATATTAGGATAAGTAACTTTTAAATTTTTGATCCTAAGATATTTTAGAATTTATATCAGTACATTCTTTACTCCTCTTGGATTAAAGAAAATCTTAAAAAGGTCGATTTATTTTCAAAAATCTTGAGCTACACTTCTTTAGATTTAAGAATATGCCTATAATTAATAAATTTATTTGCTACACAATGGCTAAGACTTACTCCTCTTTATATTTTGTTTTCTATGGAAAAGAAAGGAAGAATTGTCTGAACTTTTTATTAGTCAAAGTGGAATGAATTATTTGCAATACATGGATAGAGCTTTATTGTTGGGTAGAACCTTGTGCAGTAAACATCTTTAAGCTCAGTGAAATGCAAATCAAGGAGGTGAACAATAAAAGATCAGAATGATGGTAGTTAAAATGTATGTGCCTTTGCATTTTTTATTACATTCATTGTGTTAAATTATTATTATTCAAGTCATGGATTCAAGTACACTATTCAAAGTAGAGTACTAGGAATAGAAAACAGTACAACTACTTGTGAGAACAGCTATGTAAAAATTTATTCTTGGAAAGTTGGGGATTCGTCTTTATAATAAAGGTCACAGGATTGGTCTAATGTATAACTGTGGTCCAGAAGGGAAACAGCAGTGGCCATCTTCATCAGCAGCTGTCCCCTTCACACTAACCCCACTGTTCACTCCACTGGAACTGTAGAAATACAGAAAAAAAAGGGAACCTGGCAGCGTGCGAGGATCTGAGTATAGGGAGGAAATTGTGTATCTTCATGGAATTACGGTTTAGGGACCTCTCTAGGAAAACTTGGCATGTGTGTCTTCTTATTTTAGAGATGTTCTAAGTACGTGTATTTTCTACTGTGGATGATTAGCTACGTGATACTTCGGTGCAGTGGGTGCAGAGTTTCAGAGTTCCTAGACATTCTGTTCATTATCTGAAAAATTACATATCTTAGAAAAATAATAGTAAGTTGATTCATTTTGAGATTCTTCTGTTAAAAATAATGCTTTTCTTCCTATTTGCTTTGCAATTTTAGGGCTATAAGAATACTTAGTGGCTATTCATTGGAAGTTTTCTTCTTTGATATTCTATTTCAATTTCTCTTTTGGGTCTCTATACTCATCCACAGTTGCACTTTTGCATATTCTTCTGAAATTCATCATTTTCACCATTTCTTTTATGCTAAGGATCAACCCAGGTTCTCAGACATGCTAGCTACCTGTGACATAGACCTTCAGTGGATCACTTTTTCCTTTACTTTTGCTATCTGCTTAAAAAATACTACGTACTTCGCTTCGTGTATTACTTATCCTCTGATAACTTATACTTCAGTTCTTGTCCCCAGACTTGCTTTGAACTTTCAGTTCTTTTTTCTTTTGCTGTTTAACAATCTTTCTTTGTTCCCTAATTTATTCTGATATCTAAAATAACAGTCATTAAAATTGGAAGAATTGAAATAATAAAGCCTATATAGCTGTCACCTAGCTTCAATAAATTCTTACATTTTGTTCATCTCATTATATGTTCACTTGGCCTTTAAAAATTTTTGGGAAAATTTTATACATTATGTCATTTCACTGTCAATATCTTTAAGACGTAGGATTTTCATAACTATGATAACTGCTACTTTTGTTTCACAGGTAACAAAATTATTAATTCCTTAATAAAATCAAATACTTAGTTATTACTGTTATTACTCAGAGTTCTCCAGTTGTCTGAAAAATATCTTTTTACAATTAATTTCAAGGATCAAGGAACTGAAGACCATCATGGTAAGTGAAATAAGGCAGATTCAGGAAGACAAGTATTGTATTTTCTCCCGTATGTGAAATCTAAAATAAAAAAGGCACTATGAGAGTGGAAGCAGACTATTAGAGAAGAGGCTCAGTGGTAGGATGAGAGGGGAATTGGAGTAGATAGGATCAAAGTATGTTATATGCATGTTTGACTATGTCACAGTATAAACCACACACTCAGTGTAGTTAACATGCTCCAATTACAAACAAAACAAAACAACAACAAAAAAACCAAAACCAAGCAAAGGATCCAGTCAAAGGTGAGGCCTATATATTTAGTTATTTATCACTTTAGTCTCTTTTTTTCTATTATACCATCCTCCATTTTCTTGTGTTTTAAATATTTTTTTATTTTATAAAAGCAAAATGTAAAAAAGATAGAAATAATACAGAATTTCAAAAATAAAGAAATTGACACTAGTTAATATATTGCATATTGTTATAATAGAAATCGTTCAGGTTACAAGATCCAGGCATAAAAAATGATCAAACCATGACAGCACAAACTGTTCTTTTTGATGAACTAACAAAGATTAGTGGTTTAGTTATCTATCTTGTGTGCATATACATACATAGTCACATGTGTATACGTACATGCATATAATCTTTTCTTTTCCTCCATTTATTCTTTTCCCTATCCCAGTTCTTTCCTTTTGAATACTTTCTTTTTCTTTCATTATTAGTGTCTGTTGTTTTATATCTTATTACTGTTTCATTTTTTAATTTTTATTATCTTTTACAGTAGAGAGACAATGATATTTACAAATGTGAGTCTGATTTATTTCACTTATGAGCATTATCTCAAGGTGCCTCCATTTACCTATATAAGCCCCAAGATTATCCTTTTTATGGCTGAGTACTATTCCACTGTTTTCATCCATTCTGTGGTTGATGGGCATTTTTTTTGGTTTCCAAGATTTAGCTGTTATAAATTGTACTGCTGTAAATGTGGGTGCACATATATTACTGTGATATGACCTTTTCAATTTGCTGGAAAAATACCCACAAGGGGAATAGCTGGATTGAATGGAAATTCCTTAATTACAGTTTTTTGAGGACTCTCCATACTGATTTCCACAGTAGCTGCACCAGTCTACACTCTCACCAACAGTGGAGAAGAGTTCCTTTTTCCCCACAGCCCCGCCAACATTTGTTTTTTGTTGACTTCTTGATGCAGCCATTCTTTCTGGGATGAAATGGAATCTCAATGTTGTTTTAATTTGCATTTCTCAAATGACCAGTGATGTTGGACATGCCTTCATGTATTTATTTGCCATTTGTATTTCTTCATCTGCAAAATATGTGTTCATCTCAGATATCCTTTTTTGGAGAGGGTTTTTGAATTTGAGGGACCTGATGTTTTTTAATTCTTTTTATGTCCTAGATCTAAGTTCTTTGTCTGAGGGATGGCTGGCTAAAATTCTTTCCCATTCTGTGGGTTTTCATTTTACTCTTGGTGATTTCATTTGAAGTGCAAAAAACTTTTTTTGGTTTTTAATTCTAAGACTTTGTGAAAAAATCAACAATTTGACTGATTACTTCCTTAAAGTTTTGGTTTGCTTATCACTTGTGTGACGTAAACTGGTAATTAAACCTAGAATTTTGATTAAATTGAGTCATTTTGTTATTTAGTGAGAACTCTTGATAGTTGGTGCTGTATACTTACTGCATCATATCAAGAAGCACAAAATGTCTGATTGTCTTTGGAGATGCTAAGATTGTCTGTCTCCAGGTGGCATTAACCTGATTCCTTGATTATAAATTCCTTATCAGCCCTTCCTTAATAGCTGTAGCATTCACTGAGATACATCTTTTCATTAGTGGTCATAAAATTATTATTTTTATAATATTGTCACTCTTTTGTATTTATTAGATAGAACTTTTTTGGAAAATATATTTTTCTTGGCAATTTGGTTCCCCTAAAATGCAGAATAGACTGGACAAGTGCTTCCCTACCTCCTCCTTTTATCTTGTTTAGTTTAAGAGCACTAAAGCTGCTCACTAAAGAGTTATAATTTACATGCCATAAAATTTACCCATCATAACTGTAGTTAAATGATTTTGAGAAAATTACACGGCCATGAGCCTCATCAATAACAATTTAGAATATTTTCATCCTAAAAAGTTCCTGATGCGTATTTATAGTCTATTCATATGTCCACCCCAGCTACAACTGATATATGTTTTATCTCTGTAGGTTTTTGACTCTTGGAAATTTTGAATAAATGCTATATAAAGTCTTTTATTTCTGTATTCTTACATTTAGAATAATGATATTGAGAATAATATATATTATTACATCCTTCAGTAATTCATTTCTTTTTATTGCTAAGCAGAATTCTATTGTGTGGAACTTGTTACCCCCTGGTGATCATTTATTAGATATTTGCACTGTGAATGGTTTTTGGCTATTATGAATAATGTTGATATGAATATGTGACCATGTGCTGGATTTTATGGTAATATGTATGTTTATATTTATAAGAAACTGTCAGCATACTTTTAAAAGTTACTGTATATATTTTAAAAAGTTACTGCAACATTTTACATTTCTGTCTGCAGTGCATGAAGGTCTCTGTTTCTTCGCATCATCCCAAGACTTGAAATTGTTAGTCTGTTGGAATATAGCAATTTAGGTGGATGTGTAGAAGTATCATTATATTTTAATTTACATTTCAATAATAACTAATGATTTTGATCATTTTTCTATGCACTTAGGCATTCATGTCTCTTTTCTTGTGAAATGTTTATATAAACCATTTTGAATTGGGTCTTCTTTGTATTTTTTTTTAATATCCTGAATATCCTAATTTGTAAATATTTCTCTCAATTTTTGATCTTTTAATTCTTTTAATGGTGTCTTTTGAAGAATAAAAATTAAGAAATGTAATTTAAATTTTTTTCTCTTATGTTTATACTTTTGGTGTGACATCTATGAAATATTTGTCTAAGCCAGTTGATGGCTAGCCTACTGGATGGGTGCCACAGCTGATTGTGTATCTTTGACAGCTCTGAAAAGCTTGTTGTCA